CTTCTCCTCCTTCGGTTTAGCCACGGTTGCCTCGGCCGCAACTAGAACTGCGAAGGAGGATAAAATTGGAGCCTCATTTTTTGGTTTAGAAAGATTTACCAATGGTTCTTCAGCCTGTTTCTCTTTCTGTTGCTCACCGTCATTCTTGGTCTTCACCTGCACATTAACAACAACAAAAAAAACATTAGGGAAATAGAGAAAACCTCATCTCTGATTATTTTTGTAAGGACAAGTCCGAGGTGCCAAGCCTCGGACTGATACAGTAATTCCTTTATGACCGAAGTGAAGGACAAATCGAAAGCCTCCCGCTCAAATAGCTGCATGACAATGACAATAAGTATGCCCATACCTGATTCCTTATGATGAGCGGCACAACAAGTATGGTGGACATCCGTGCATCTGAATACCTCTCAAATTCCCGGTCCCGAAATAATCGTCTGGATAGACACGTCAGGCTCCGATTATGTTGCTTGGCATGCCACGTGGGTTCCTCTTTGGATCCTATAAATACCCCCCGGGCCACGTCAAACGGTAATTGAAACCAACCCTAAGCTCTTTTTATCTCCGCCCTAAAGGTAGTCCCGATTATTGCTGACTTAAGCATCGGAGTGTCTACCCCGAGTTCCACCTCGGGGCTTTGCAGGTCATCCCGGAGTGCAGACGCGGACTGAAGAAGGACTTCTGGTTTGGTGCAATTACATTGGCGCCGTCTGTGAGAATCGAACTAAAAGCTTTCTAGTTGCTCTTTTATCATGGTTCACACTCAATCAGTCCGAGCTAGTAATTCATCTCTGTCTCATAGGCAAAGTCAACCCCCCAACAACCTTTCGCCTCTGATCCCACCTCAACTCCCAATTCAACCTCCACCTCAGCTCCCACCTCAGGTCCCCACTATGTTCCCTTCTGTTGATCATGCAGAAGGAGGAGATGAAAACCAACCCCATACCTCAGCTCACAATTCAACTTCCACTGCCAACCAAGACGTAGTGGCAGCTCAGCTTGCTGCCATGCAACAACAATTTGGTGTTTTCCAGTTGGTACTGGCTCAACTTTTAGCTAGAAATAATCATGGTGATCCCTTCATTAATTTACTGAACCCTGCTCAACAACCCCCAGCTCCACAACAGAATCCT